TTGATATTACTTTAGATTTTCAATATTGGTTTTGCATCCCATAAAAAAATGTGAAATGACACCCCTGTGTTAAAATAAAATTCACACCATTGTCTATCTATTTTATAGTGTTTTATTAATTAAAAACTTGAAATTTATGAAGATAGTGCTATTGAATTTTTACAATGACTTAATATAAATATATAATATCAATATGACAATATATCAGCTACAAAACTAGTGTGTTAGAAAAGTCATAATTTGATTTTAAATAAAGGTAAAACTACCTATGTTAAAAAACTAACATCAGAATTTAAGATTTATTTGCAAAAAACAAGAATTTTGCACAATTCATGGACTGGAATAAATTTTCTGAGAATTTGAGAAATTAACAAATTATAGGTAGGTATTAATCACATTTTTTATGAGCTGTAGTGAGGAGCATTTTATACAAATACTAAATTTTAACTTTAATTACATTATGAAATTCAAATTTGTATTCTATAAACTGACTGATATAGTGATATATTAAATTAAAACATAAAATAAAATAAGATGACTCGTTGATATAAAAATATAAATATTGACTGAACTAATAACTAGAAAAGTAACTCAAATCTTACCAAACAAACTTGTACAAACTTACAAGATCAAACATTTACCACTTCCTCATTTATACTATCACTAAGATGTATACTACTTTCTACTTATCTCAGTTTCTAGACACCATTAAAGCATTACGCATATTTTACTGGAATACTGATGAAAATTAAACCATCAGAAATCCAAAACAACAAATTTAAGAAAAAAAAATTAGCATAAATGTTAATAGCTACCTATTGATTTTTTTTTTTACTTTGGTATAAGTGTATAACTGATAATATTATAATAAACTATGCAAGTTAATAACTCGCTTAATGACCTAAAAATATAATATTTATAATAAATACCTTATTTAATTAGAATGCCTTTAAAATAAATGGAAGATATTTGATTAAGTAATTTAATATTATATAGATATTCTTATGTGTTCTCAAGACAAATTCCTTATTTGTTTTTACCAATAACTTTAGCAGAATAGGTATACACAAAGATTAGCTGGTGTAACCGTAAGAACAAAATAGTTTCTTTTCAGTAACTCTGACRAGAGTAATTCATCAAATAAAATAGATTATAATAATTATGCACAAATTTATAATAATAGGTAGGTACATACCTGTTTTTTTGCAAGTTGAAACCAAGTCCTTATAATTACAGGCAATCTGGTCAAGTGATTTCTCCCAGTAGTTTTTACGGTGATGAACACTTTATCTAATAGATCATCATTGACAGGCAAAAGGCGTTGAAATGATTTTCTTTCCAAAGTCGAATAGTTTGTCGGGTTGCTTACTGTTTTTGGCTGCTGTGGCAGGGACAGGAAAAAAGAGAAATAAAAACGTTAATTGCAAAGTCAAAACACACGAGTCAGGCGAGCAGGACTGACCTGTTGCTGTCCGGGAGTGAGCACATTGCCTCCGGAGATTCCCACCTGTTGGTAGAAAACGAACGATGCGAGCGCTAACAGGGCGAGTAATATCTGCAACTGTAACAGCCATCGTTTGGTTTTTCTGGACATAGTTCCACCGCGGTCGGCCGGTCACATTTTCGGCAATAAACAGACGGCCGTCGACCAGCCGCCGCTGCTGCTGCGATATAAATACTGACGTCTGATATTACTACAATATTAGTATACCATTATAATAATAACAATATGCAGATTAATGCAATAATAATAATAATATTATTATCGACAGAAGTTGTTATTATCGCGGGGCGCGTTCGTTATCAGTGGCGCACTCCGTTATCACTGGTCGCGGAACACGCACGAATCGCGGCGGCCAACACGGAGTACGCGATGCAGCWCGTTCTCACCGGTCGACGGACGGAACGCGAATGCCGGAGCCCGCGGTTGGCGGTTCACGATCACGGTTAGCGGTTGCCACTTCCCAGCTGCACCTTGCACTTGCTGGCGGCCGGCCGCGCCGGTGAGTGTGGTGAGTGGCGGTTAATTATGGTTATGCCGGTGGTACATTTTTGTACCGCGGCGGTATAGACGACGTGAACTCCGACTAGGTCCGACCGTGGAGAACGACCGCATAGCCGCATAGGCCGATTGCCTGCGAGACTGGCCGGCGATCGTGTCGGACGCGACACGGGCACTCCGCGGAGGCATCAACCTCCCAGCCGCGGTGGCCTCGAGGTGTTCCGTATCGCGTTAATATTACTATTATTGTTACACATATTATTATTGTTCTCTCTCCGCCTTCCACCGCACATCCGTAATATTATTATGAATAATAATTACGAATGTCCTCTTCCGACCGGCGCGTTTGTTACGCACGCAGGAACACTGGAGAAACATAGCGAGAAWATATTATTAAAGGGCAAATGGTACCTACCTATTGTATCAATGTTAGGCACATATTTTTACTTACAAGAACATCTCCTGTAGTGCACAGTTGGTTTGGTGGTCGTTCTTTGAARAAAAAAAATTAAAAGTACGCACCACTGCTTTGCTGTTTTAAACCGACAGAAAGGTTCCCCGGAGATTATTAGGGGGCATCAAAGCAGCCACATTGCCTGCATTCCCCAATTTATTTCCCCGTCGTGTAATAGGGACTTAGCAATACCTACGAGGCTACGTCTAATTGCTATATAGGCGTGTGCATTTATAATATTAATTATTGTTAATAAAGCCCGGATGTTGATAACTTGTATTTTTTTTT